TACTCCCATCGGTATGGCAGGTTTGTATGTGGCACAGGAGTCACATAGTCGCACGATATCTCGTGCATCTGCTCTGGAAACATGGAAATGGTTTGCTAGTGTCCTGGCATTGACATGAAACTTATCATGGAAGGCACGGGCTCGCTCGATTGGTGTTAGTAAGGTAAAAATCCATAACGGGCGAGTGGCAGTATCAGCAGCCGCATTCCCCTGTGCCATGGGCCCCGGCAGGGATGTATGTGCTCTTATGTGGGTGGTGAAGACCTTATGGTGTCTGTTCTGAAGCAATGTCTGGATAGACAGGAACAGCCCAGCCACTGTGGAAGTGGATCTAATTAAACCGGCAGTCTCAAGCACTTGCATAGCATTGACCACATACCTAGAATCGGAGACAATATTAATGGCTTCTGAGAACCGTTCAAGAATCATTTTAACGATCTGCAGTTCCACCACCTGAGGCTGATCAGGTTCAAATTGTATGGTAACCGGGGGCTTGCCTAGGATCACATAGGCGCCTATCCCCGTCTTGGAGCCATCTGTGTATATTGTAGTTGCTGGGACTAATGGCTCAGAGGCAGTAACCTTTGGAAAAATTATAGGGTGCTGAGTGACAAATGACAAGATAGGGTCTTTAGGGTATTGATTGTTTATATCCCCATGGAAAACACATCTCAGAATGGCCCATGTATCTATGCAGGCAGCCAGGGTCTTGATCTGGCTGGCGGTATAGGGTACTCGGATGGCTTGTGGTCCTGAGCCAAAATGTTGGACAGCTCTATCATGCGCTTCAAGGGCCAATGAAGCGACTGCCTCCGGGTAATGCTCTATGACTTTTGCAGGTGAGACCTTAGGGTGTATCCACAGTAGTGGTCCTTTCTGCCAAATCACCGCTGTGGGCTGTAGACTAGTCTGTAGCAAACAGACATCAAAGGGTCGCCCTGGTTCAATTCTGTGTAAGGTAGCCCCACCTAAGGCTTTTTCCACTCTCTGTAAGGCAGCTCTTGCCTCAGGAGTGAGCCTCCTGTGGGAGGCTATATCTGGGTCTCCCTTCAGAAGGTCGAACAGGGGTTTGAGATCTGAATTTGGTATATGTAAATATGGCCTAATCCAATTAATGTCTCCCAATAGCTTTTGCATGTCATTTAGGGTCCTAACGCCATCCATCCTAATGGTGACCTTCTGTATAAGTCTGGAGGCGACACTGAGGTCCACACCTGCTGACCCAGGGGTGGCCCTTGTTGAAGGCTGCCACCCTGAGCTGTCCTGTCTCTGGGGCGGGGGCCCGCCTGTGAAGGGGGCCCCCTCTGGCCGTTTTTTGGCTCTGTAGCATCTCGTCCACAAATACGGTTGCCCTGAGCATCAAAGACCGACCTACACTCCTCAGCTTTGTGTGATCCCTTCTTGCATCGCCCACAAACATATGGTTCTTCATTCCTAGGGCGAGGCCTAGCATCTGCATTGTTTGGGCAATGACGTTTAATGTGTCCTGGCTCCCCGCAGGCAAAACACCTTTTAGCCTTACATTCCCCTTCTAACCCACGAGGTCCCCTCTGCTGTACAGCCGCGGCCAGGAGAGCAGCCACTCCCGAGTTGGAGAGCGGCCCCCCTATCTCTCTGCATATCCTAATCCAGGCGTTGAGGTCCTTGTTCTTATGAGGAGCTATCGCTGCCTTGCACTCCTTTGTACATTGCTCGAAAATCAGCTGCCTTACCAGCGGTCGAGCCACTCCCGGATCAGAAAATATTTTATCGGCAGCATCTTGCATTCGGGCCACAAAGTCAACAAATGGCTCTGTGGTACCCTGAATTATTTTTGAAAGACACAAGGAGGCTGTTCCGGCACCACTTACTTGCTTCCAGGCGCGGAGCCCTATGGCATTGATTTGTTCATAGACAGCGCCGGGGAACTGAGTCTGATCATCAGCGTGCCGACCTTCTCCCATAAGCATTTCTTTGTTCCACCCCCGGTTTCCCCGATTGGCGTTTCTCTCAGCCTGCTCTGCAGAGAACTCTGCGTACCAGGCTCGCCAATCCAGGTAACTGCCCGAGGGCAGACACGCCTTTGCCAGCTGAATCCAGTCCGCGGGGGTGAGGGGCCCAGAAGACAGATTCTCCAGCATGGCAATGGTGTAAGGCGCAGTCGGCCCAAAGGTTGTAACTGCATTTTTAAGTTCTCTAATCTGCTTTATCTCAAAAGGCTCCCATGCATTGCGTCCCTGGCCCATAGCTACTTGTACAGGAAATATCCCGTAGGGGCCACTATCTATCCCAGGTGGATGTACCTCATGAGACAAGCGTCCCCCCTGCCAAAGCCGCCTGTAAAAATACCGACCCGCCGGCGGCGGAGCATAAGACGGCGGCCGTGATTGGGCGGAAAATGGGGGCCCGTGCATCACTTCCTGTTCTGGCGAAAGGGGAGGGAGCTCCCAGGCGGCCGCCTCGTGGCGAGGGATCGCCTCCCTCTCGCGCCGGGGAGCGCTCAGGAGCTCTCTACTCCTCCGCAGACCAGGTTGAGCAGAGCGCAATTCGCGGCGCAACGCTGGAAAAGAACCCTGTGACTCCTTATCGAGCGACTTGGGCTCCTGACAGCTGGTCTCTTTGGCCTCCTTGCCATTCAACTTTCCCTCGTCCTCGGAGTCAGACGACTCCGAGGCTAGAGCCCCGTCCTCCTCCTTAGCATCTTTGTTCCCCTTGACAGGCCCCTCTCGGGAGCTCCCTGACTGGGCCTGCTCAAATACCCTGCGTACTTTTGTAAGCTCTTGAGAGCTTTCTCCACAACCACCCTCGCTCTTAATGTTACTACCTAGCATGTTTCCCATTTTTTAATATGTTACTCACCGCGTGAGGCCCAAGGAATCCGCCACTTACGCGTGAGCCTGAGGGGAGTCTAAAAGCCCTGTAGGTGCTCGCCACCCAGAGCCCAGGCTTATCCCCAACTCACCTGTCTCGCAGCTCTGTACTGGAGCGTTGTCCGCTGTCACGTCTCGGGAGTGATCAGTCCCCGGGCGGGCCCCCAAATGTCGATGTCCGCTCCCGGCCGGCAGGAAGGACACACGACAAAGTCTGGCAGTGGACAACCTTTTCTTTTATTTTTCTTCTCCGTACAGCCTGCCCTGGGATCGCTCCCAGCCGAAGCCTCCTTTGGTCCGCTCCCCGCGGCTCCTTCTGGGCTTCTACTTCCGGGCTTCTTCTACCCCCCCAGGGGTGGCACCAGTATATATACGGATACAGTGTCCAATCATGTTAAAGTAAGCAAGGCAAGCTGATTGGCTAACATCATCAGTTGCCAGGCAGACTATATTGTTGAGCGGGTTGCTTACGCGGTAAGCAGGAAACTAACGTGCTCGATGGGAGGGGTAATCTACCTCAGGCTTTACTCTTTACTACAGGCCTCACGTCCGCCAAGTGAGGCGACCGGGCTCGGGGCTGCGGCTCCCAACAATTTTTCATGCCTGTTAGTATTTGTTTTATATAGTTGGGTGCACTAGCATTTGTTGCATATGTATTTATGATTATATCTTCCTTCTGGATTGTTCTCTTTAGCAGGATATAGTGACCTTTTAAATGTCTCTTAATCAGTCTTGGCTTGAAATCCACTTGATCTGCAAATAAAATAGCTATCCTTGATTTACTGTTTTCCAGATTCTTGTTTCGTGGAGGTATTGTTTTCTGTCCTTTGATTTTCAGTCTGAGTTTTTTTTTTTTTTTTAATTAAATGTGTTTCTTGTTTGCAGCACATTATTGGATCTTGCTTCTTGATCCACTCTACCACTCTGTTTCTTTTGATTGGTGAATTGAGGCCATTAACTTTGAGGGTTATGACTGATACATATTTATTTATCCTTGTTTTCCTGTTGTTAGCTTCCTTTTTCTTCTTTCCCTTTATTAATTTATTTGCCTTGCCTCATGGATTCCTTCTGTTTGGGTTTATGGAGTTTTAATCCTTATTACCACTTCCTACGATGTCCTTCAGAACATTTTAGAGTGCTGTTTTGGTGTTCATGAATTTCCTCAAGTATTCTTTGTCATGAAGTATTTTATTTATCCATCAGTTTTAAAAGATAGTTTTGCAGTGTGCATCAATCTGGGTTCATTATTGTTTTCTTTTAGGGCTTGAAATACTTCAAGCTTTCCTTGACTTGAGGGTTTGTGTTGAGAAATCAGCTGTGATTCTGAAGGGCTTTCCTTTATAGGTGATTTGTTTCTTTTGTCTAACAGCGTTTAATACTCTGTTCTTGTGCTGAAATTCTGGAATCTTGATTATTATATGCCTTGGTGTAGATTTTTTGTTATGGCTAATTGAAGCCTTTCTTATCTATCTGTCAAATTATTTTTCCCTGCCGGGGAAATTTTTGCCATGCTGTCTATGAACAAGTTTTTTATGACAATTGTGTTATCTCCTGCTCTTTCATTGACTCAGATCAAACTTGTTATTTTTCTCTGCATCATCTAGCAGCTGCTAGATTGATTTTTTCTTTTTCTTTTTAGTTTAATGCATTTTAATAGCAAACTTATAGGACAGCATAAAAAAGATATTAAAAATATACTAGCATGTAAGACAGCTCAGTTAGAAAAGTATAGTGACTGAATGGAATTCACTGTATGATAAAATGCTACAAACACCATTTAGTTGCTATCAATAAGAAATTTAATTGTTTTTTTTTAAACCTAATTCTGGTATTGTCCAGAAAAATTTAACAGATTTTTATTTATAATTATTATAAAGTTGAAGTGCTGAAACTTTCATTAAACCATTTTGACTTGCATTAATGCTTTACATCTCCACGTGAATATTAGAAATTCACACACAAATGAAAATGTAAAAATTCCCAATACTTGATTTTTGACCCTATTTTCCACTCAGTGATGTACTTAGGTGCCTTTTGACCCTGTGGGAAAAAATATCTAACATTTAGAACTATCAATCACAGGAAAAAAAGAGAGACATTTTTTGAGCGTGACCATAGTGGACTCTTAAAGCACATTCGCCACAAATGCACCTTGCTCATTGGGATGTCTTTTGGAATAATTGTTACATGTTTGGCATGGGTGGCACACAGGCTGGTACCTTCAAACAGGCCAACCAGATAGGCCTCATTAGCTTCCTGCAAAGCATTAATAGCTGCACTCTGGAAGCACAGATCTGTTTTGAAGTCCTGAGCAATTTCAAGAACCAGATGCTGGGAAGGGAGTTTGTGAATCAGAAGTTTAGTGAACTTCTGATAACATCTAATTTCACGGAGTGCCACAGACCCAGGCCTGGGTTTCTTCACCCCTCCAGTAGAGGATCCATTCTTATGAGCAGCTTTTATAGCCAGTTGTTTTCTGGGTGCTTCACCACCAGTAGATTTATGGGCAGTGTGCTTGGTATGTGCCATGATACAGAGACCTCCTTAGCCCCTTCTTCTTTATCTAGAGGTGGGTGAGTGAGAGGCGGTGCTGGTGTTAGAGACCGATGGCCTAGATTGGTTTCTTCTGGGTCCCTTGCTATTGTTAGGAAATCTTTCTTATCACGATTGTATACTGCAATTCTCTTTTCTCTATCTGAGATTCTGTCTTTCTATTGGCTCATTCTGCTGATTGGCTCATTCTGCTGTATATACTTTCAATGGCATTTTTAATCTTCTGGATATATGTTTGAATCTGTTTCATGGATTCTATTTCTTTTCTATGTTCGGCATTCTTGATTTCCATCATTTACCTAAGCTCTTTTATTTTATTTTTTTTGTATATGCTGTAGAATCACCATGTTTCATTTATAATGACCACTTCTTTAGTTTTCTGAGAAATTTTTAATTTTTTTTCTAGAGATTCATGCATTTGCTTTGTTATTTCTGCGATTACCACTTCAGATAGTCCAGCCTGGTGGTTTTGGATAGTTTCACCTCATTACCTTGTGGGTTTGCCTTTAGTGAGCTGGATGTCTGGGGTTGCATTTTTTAAGTTTAATATCTGGGTTGATCCTTCTAAATTGCCTATGTAGTTATATTGCTAGTATTTCGAATCCTTAGGAAATGACTACTTCTCAAAGATAACTTATAGGTGTAGCTTGCTTTTGGGTTTTGAGTCTATTGCAAGATTCTGACTCTTCAATTTATTGAGAATGAGAAGTTGGTGCCTACGTGGCCCAGCCCCTGGCACTGGCCTGTAGTATTTTTTATGATGCTTAGTCAATCTCAGTCTTGGTATACCAGAAAGAACAACTGTTTAGAACAATTATGTCACTTTGGCTAATGTGGTACAATTAGCAATAATAGTAGCATCAAACACAGCTTAGAAAATGACAAACTGAGGTAATTTTCCACCTTAAACCATATAAACTAGATTTGTGGTTATTTAACAAAATGTAAAACAAACCAGAAAATTATAGGCAGTAAATAAGCCCTCAATATGGCAATTTTCTCCTCAAGGGAAAAAATTTAAATGGGGTTCAGGGAAAAAAAATATAGCCCTAAGAGAAGAAGAGGTTAGAAGCAAGGCTGTAGGACAAAGGAAGATCATGCAAACTTTGGAGAAACTGTTGCAGAAAACAGGAGAGAGAGTTTAGGAAGAGATAAAAAGGACAAAAGGCAATAGCAGCAGCAAAACTAAACTCTTTTGTTCACACATAAAAAACCAGAAAAAACAAAACAAAAAGCAAGAAAAGAGAAAAAGAAAAATCCACTTCAACGTATGTCTCTGCTGTCACTGGCACACAGTGTGTGCAGACAGGGTCCAGATCCATGTTGATTATTCCCAGAAAACTAGTGGTAGCTTTGCAGCCCTGGAGTAGTGGATAATTTCAGCAAGCTTGCACCTTGATTTCCACTGAAGTTCAGGGTAGTTTCTGGCCATGAGGCTGGAATCAGACCCATTTTGCCTGGAGCAGTCCCTGTTCCTCCTGCCCACTTGAACTGAGCTGGGAGCCACCAGGTGGAGTCAGAAGTTGCTTTGATTTCCAACCTCAGTTGGTCCCTCTCCAAGATGTCACCTGGTCAGTTACCCCTTCCTGTTCATCTGAACCCAAATAACTCACCAGCCACTGCAGTCTGCTTCATCTACTGCTCCATTCCACTGGTGTGTTTCTCTATGGAGGACTCTGGAATCTGCAGTTTTAAATGGCTCCTGTCATGCAGTGAGTCTGGGATGAGGGAGAAGGCACTGCCTGCAGCTTTCTTTGTTGAAGATTTTGTCTTTGCTTTTCTTTTGAGCTTCAGTTCTTGCTTTAGATCCATGCTGAATCCTGGGGACCCACTTCCTTTGTCCTTCTCTTCCTCACGTTGCTATATTCCAGTGTCTGGATGCCAAGTCTTGGAGAGGCTTTTTCTTTGTTGCTCACCACTCTATATTTGTGGATGTCTGGGCTGTTTGATCTTTTTAGTGTTAAGTTTTTTGAGCTCTTTATATATTCTGGATATTAATGCTTTATCAGAAAGTCAGAAAAATTGGAAGAGTTGGCAAAGATTTTCTTCCATTCTGTAGACTGTTTCTTCACTCTGCTGTTTGTGGAAATTTAAAAGTTTGACATAGTTGCATTTGTTGATTCTTTCCTAATATTCTCTGGGCTTTAAGAGTTTTATTCAGGAAGTATTTGCATGTGCCTATGGCTCTAAGTGTTTCCTCCTCCTTTTTTTAGTCGTTTCAAAGTTTCAGGTCATTTATCCATTTTGAATTGATTTATAGAAGCCAAAATATGTGTTAACTACTTAACAGTTTACTTTAAGTGTCACTTGGGAAGTGTACTTTTTTACTTACATTTTTAGCTTCCTGGTCTGCAATCAGATGGCTGTAGTTGTGTGGGTTTGTTGCATTGTTCTCTTATTATGTTACATTGATCTACATATGTTATTTTTATGCCAGTGTGCTGTTTTTATTACAGTGCTTTGTAGTATAATTAGAACTTGCATATTGTGATGCCTTTTACCTTGCTGTTTTTACTTACGATTCCTGTAGCCATTCTGAGTCTTTTTGCATTTTCATTTTCCTTTTGGGATTTTTGTCTAGTTTTGTGAAGAATGTGATTGATATTTTGGTAGGGATTGCATGGAACTTTTAAAGTTTGTTTTGCGGTAAGAGCTTGCAAAGTTGTCTATATAGGCCTTGAACTTGGAATCCACTGCCTTAGCCTATTTTTTGTTTTCAATTTTATTTTAAAGAGATAACCCTCAAAATTTCAAAACAAGATAATAGGAGAGTGACAATGTTTAATATATCATGTATTGTTATCTTTAATTTAGTTACTCAGAGTACAAGATACAGGTGTTTAATTGTCCAAATAATGATAGCATAAACCTTTCTTTTCAATGACCTAGGGGAAATTAATAGTATAACTATCTTAACTTTCTTGTATATTTATATATTTTGTTTTCCCTTTTTCCTTTCCCCATCCAGTTTCTCTTTGCTTTTGAATAGTTTTTTCCCATTTCACAATATCTATTGTATAGTTTAGATCTTATTTATTTTTCTTACATCAGGGAGATAATACAGTGTTTACACATGTGAGTCTGATTTATTTCACTTATGAGTGTGGTCTTGAGTTGTATCCACTTCCCTACAAAAGTCTCAAAAGTATCATTTATGTCAGAGTAGTACTCTGTAGAAAAGTAGAAAAAGGCCACATCTTTTTTTATCTGTTCCTCAGTTGATGAGCATTTAGGTGGTTTCCAAGACATGGATATTACAACTGGGTGGGTATACATATGTTGCTGTGGTATGATGTTTTTAATTCTTCTGGGAAAATATCCAGAAGGTGAATAGCAGGGTCAAATGGGACTTTAATTTTCCTAGTTTTTTCAGGAATCTTCATACTGATTTCCACAATGATGATACCAGTCAACAGTCCTGCTAACAGTGGAGAAAGGTTTCTGTTCCCCAACTGTCCCTCCCGCATTTTTTTATTTTTTGATTTCTTGATAATAGCCATTCTGGGATGAGATGAAATATCAGTGTTGTTTTAATTTGCGTCTGTTGAATGACCAGTAATGGTCATTTATCACAGTAGCATTCATAGCATAATTTCAAATTGAACATTTTTTCATGTATTTATTTGCTGTTTGTATTTGTATATCAGAAGTATATATTCATCTCAGATGCCCATTTTGGATTGAGTCTTTAAATTTGGGAGGTCTAGGTTTTTTGTTTTAATTCTTTATATATTCTAGATATTAATCATTTGTCTGAGGAACAGCTGACAGAAATTGTTCCTACACTGTGGGTTGTCTATTCTGTTGGCAGTTTCTCTTGCTATGCAAAAGCTTTTTAATAAGATGAGATCTCAGTTGTTGATTCTTTGTGATAGTTGCTGTGAAATTGGGGTTTTATTCATAAAATCTTTGCCTAGACTAATGTCTTTAAGAATTTTATGTATTCTGTCTTCCATCAGATTTAATGTTATCATAGATCCATTTTGAATTTAATTTAGTGCATGGTGAAAGAAATGGGCCCAATTTTAATCTTTAGTATGTATAAAGTCAGTTTTTCCAGCACTGTTTATTAATGAGGCTGAACTGATACAGCTCAGCAGCACAGGACTACTTGGCAAGTGTAAGGTTGTGTGTTCAATTCCTGGGACCAAAAAAACAAAGATAAAGTGGCTGAGTACATGTCTAGTATTGTTTCTGCATCTTTTAATCTATTCCTTTGATTCTTGGGCTTGGGTTGTTTGCCAGTACTAGTTTTTTTTTTTAAATCACAGTAGCGTCATAGCGTAATTCAAATCAGGATTTGTGATGTTACTTGCTACCTTTGTTGCCCAGAATTGCCTTTGCTATTCTAGGTCTGTTCTGGTTCTAAATGAATTTTAAGATTGTTTTCTCTAATTCTGTGTAATATGTCATTGGAATTTTGACCAGAATTGCATTAAATCTGGTAACAATTTTGAAAGTCTGACGATTTTTATGAAATGTATTCCTCCTACCCAAGAAGCAGAGATACCTTTCCCTTTCCTGATACTCTTTTCGATCTCCTTTTTCAGAGTACTGTAGTTTTCAATGTAGTGATCTTTTACATTATTCTTTAGATTAATACCTACATGCTTCATTATTTTGGATGCTATGGTCAAAGGTGTTGTTTCCCTAATTTCTGTCTCTGAGTTTTTATTTGGATGCAGGAAGGCTACTGATTGTTGAGTGTTGATTTTGTATTCATCTAGGCTCCTGAATTTGGTTAAGTCTGATAGCATTTTGGTGGAGTTTTTGGGGGTCTTTTATGTAGAATATCATGTTACCCACAAATAATAATTTAACTTTTTCCTTTCCTATCATTATTCCTTTTCTTTGTCTTGCCTTAGCCTCTTAATTAGCTGAAATTATGGGTTTGTGCCACTATGTCCAGCTTTAAGCTGTATTTTGACTAGGGTTATTAGAATTTTATTCGTTTGCTTTTTTTTCTATTAACTAGT